ACTTTATAGTAGATATTTTTAGCAAGACATATTTTTCTGAACTGTATAGGATGCATATATTGGGACCTCAGGTGTTTTCTTTCTTTATCGATCCTTAGGGAAAGTGGTGTTAGGTAGGGAGAGGTCCATTGAAGGTGCGATGGGTCGACCAGCCTGACTTTGGACAATTTTTAGATTTTATTTCTGAGGTTTTGAATGTGTGCATTTATATATCATCCTAAAAAGTTTCATAACCCTTTCTTTCTAAATTGGTTTGGAGTACCATAGGTGGTTGCCTGGGCAGAGGAACCGTGAGAGAGTTTTCCTGTCTAGATTGTTTGATGGATAATAAAGAAAGATAGCTGCTTGATGGGTTTTTTCGCTCTCACACTCCACAAATAAATTTTACTATATTACTAAGGTTAAGCATGGACAGAAGTGATTCGTATGAGGCTAATTAACATCATAATTGTATAATTTCTTGTTTGCGAGACTATAGTCTCGCTAGGGGGGACTATGAAGTGTCTGATGTAATCAGGACAGAGGTAATATAAGTTTACAATGGGCGCATCAGGAGTATCTGAAGGGATTTAGGAGCCCTCTCAGTGGAATGTGTACAATGGGGCCCTGTATCCAGAGAGTTGCCCAGGGACTTCTGGACAAGAGATTGTATCTGTGACCTGTGTTGTCCTTTGAGTTTATGACATACATATGACATACATATGACTAAGACAGAAACCCCTGCAGTTGTATGAAGAGGGGTGTCCTGAAAACAAACAGATGTCCCTATGTTGTTCTCCTGTGAGGTGTGTCCATAAATACCAGAGTTTCTGTGTGTAAGGGGAGAGATCACTTTTGGCTGTGTCTCTCCCAGTCGAACCATGGCGAGCCTGGCGATGCTGTAACTTGTTTGTCAATAAAATGATCATTATGTAAGCAAGTCAGTGTCAACGGAGAATTCTTCATCATCAAACATGTCAACAACAAGGAAATCCACATCAGTTTTAAATGAAGGACATTAAGATGGAAGGAAGTAGTTCACCCCACACCTCACAGTGCAATACAAGTGTGCAATATTAAACCAGTGTAATTATATCATGTGAAAAATATGTGTGCAATAAGAAAACTTATTTATGTTTTCATTTCCTTGTTCAGTGTTCCCCTTTGTTCTTTTTTTGTATTATATCTTTCAGGGTATAACTTCTGTACAGTTTATTTTAAATCACTTAGCTGTTACTACAACTTTTTATTTTTACTTTTACTTTATTTGTACTTTTCTTCTCTTTTTTTCTTATAATGCTTTTCTATTTTATATATCATTTTAACTTTTTTTGTAGAAGCTGACTCAGGGAGAAACGTACAAGAATTCCAATGTACCTGTACTGTACCTGTGCAAATGGCAATAAACATCTATTCTATTCTAAATTCAAATAGTCAGCTGGACAAACAATAATTAAACTGATGGATAATTAACTTAAATAATGTATTTATTAATTTAATAAGAAGGATCATGAAAGCTGTGTTTTAATGTTTCTCATGAGAGTGGAGGTTAATGTAACGACCTGATCTACGTTTGTTGTTTAAGCCACATTAAGTAACTTTGGAGAAACTCAGAAACATTTAAAAGTTGTTGAAAACACGACATTCTCTCTTTTATACAAACATGATCAGTATTTACATTTTTTATTTTTAAAGATTCATCGTAAAACGAAACCTCCCTGTTCCTAAAATCTGTTTACAAGTTATTATTTCTGCAATGCCATGACAAGTTGCTTCAGGAAAAGTTGTTGGGATCATGATGATGAAATCAGGGCGTTTAATGACCCTGAGAAAATATTGAGCAACACTGTTCTTCCTGTTCGTCTATTTCAACAGAAAAGATCACATGATGTAAAACAAATATCATATCATTTTAAATGATGACAGAAATGTCCGATCAATAATTCAGACTTCTCTCCAGTTGTGTTTTCTCACTTGACAGGCAGCTAGTGGGACCTGTGCTGTGAAGTACAAACATCCTATCTTTTCCCAGAGCCTTGAACGCAGCAGTAGTAGAGGGGCGTGGCCAACCTAACAACCAGGAAGGTGTTAAGATGACATCAGCAGGTAACAGCCTCCACCCTGCAGCGGCATCAGGAAGCTCAGCAGAGTTTGAGCAGCAGCAGAGACAAACAGTCGACCCTCCGCTCACCTGAACAGGTAAGAAAACCAGTAGCACCAGCACTCTGTACTGGGACTAGACCAGTAACAGCTGCTGGGTGTGCTCAGTGTGTGTGTATGTATGAGCTTTAAGAGAGCTGAGAGGGGAGTGTGTGTGTGTGTGTTTAGAGTAACTCACTCTCAGGTGTTGTGAGCAGGTCTCGTCACCTGAGAGTAGAAACTCCTGTGATTCATGGTTCTGTTTTTATCTTCAGGGACTTTTAGATTCCAGACTTCAGTCATCGTCTTCATGTGTTAATAAGTCAAATCAGCTTTAAGGCTTGTGCATCATAATGTTTGGAGTCATCCAGGGTTGAAGATTAATGTGTCTCCAGTGACTTTGGTGAAGACTGAAATTCAGATTTCTAAACTTTGTTATGATCTGAGTAAATATTTAAAGATGTTGATAAATCTGTTTGAAACCACAGCAACAAAATATGAAGTCCGAGACGTCAAATATTAATTTCTTCAATGATTAAATGTTGAGAAAAAGCTCTGGCACGATGTCTAAATTAGAAAACATTGTTAACATTTTGCTGCTGAAATGTTGACAATGTGTTTTTCTAGTTTTATTTTGAAGGACTCTTTCTCTCCAACACACCTGTCGTTTAAATCAATGCAGACTTTTTAAAGCTTCATGCTATGGATCAATTTAGGGCTGCACGGTGCTGCAGTGGTTAGTGAGGAGGTTCCTGGTTTGAATCCCCGTTCTTCAGGAGTCTCTCTGTGAGGAGGTTCCTGGTTTGAATCCCCGTCCTTCAGGAGTCTCTCTGTGAGGAGGTTCCTGGTTTGAATCCCCGTCCTTCAGGAGTCTCTCTGTGAGGAGGTTCCTGGTTTGAATCCCCGTTCTTCAGGAGTCTCTCTGTGAGGAGGTTCCTGGTTTGAATCCCGTCTGTCAGGAGTCTCTCTGTGAGGAGGTTCCTGGTTTGAATCCCCGTCTGTCAGGAGTCTCTCTGTGTGGAGGTTCCTGGTTTGAATCCCCGTCTGTCAGGAGTCTCTCTGTGAGGAGGTTCCTGGTTTGAATCCCCGTCCTTCAGGAGTCTCTCTGTGAGGAGGTTCCTGGTTTGAATCCCCGTCCTTCAGGAGTCTCTCTGTGAGGAGGTTCCTGGTTTGAATCCCCGTCTGTCAGGAGTCTCTCTGTGAGGAGGTTCCTGGTTTGAATCCTCGTCCTTCAGGAGCTTCTCTGTGTGGAGTTTGCATGTTCTCTCTTGGTCCTCCAGCTTCCTCCCACAGTCCAAAGACATGCTCGTTAGGTTAACTGCTAAATTGTCTGTAGGTGTGAATGTGAGTGTGTCTGGTTGTCTGTCTCTAAATGTCAGCTCTGTGATTGGCTGGTGAACAGTCCAAGGTGTAACCCCGCCTCTCGTCCAATGACAGCTGGGATCAGCTCCAGCTCCCTGCGAACCCTAAACCTCGTTCAAAACAGCTTCTGCACGACTCCAAAACGCAGCGCACTGTTTCTCCAAATCCACATCAGACAAGTTATTTTGAAGGAGAAGTCTGTATTTTATGAACATGTGAGCGACATGTTTAGTCCTGTATTTGATCAAAGAGCTGCTGTGGGTCCAGGTGATTGGGGGGTCAGGGGGGTCAGGGGGGCTCCTGTTCAGGATTATTTCAGTTAGGACGTCCACAGCTGCAGACTTCCTCTCATAGTTTGGTGTTTTATTTTAAACTGAGGACTTGAGTGTGCTGACGGGGCGTTGAAGAGCAGAAGTGACTCGACTGGTCTGACCACCTGCAGGCCGGGGAGCGGCCCCGGAGCCTCAGACACCCCATCCTGACTCACTGCTGGACCGATGGAGCAGACTGACGCTGTCTTAATAATCTGACCTCCTGTTAAAGTTCCTCTCAGCTGGAGGATTCTAACCCGCTCCTAATACATACAGCTGAGAAAACAGGAAACAGAATGCAGCTGCTTCATTAGAGCACGGACATCATAGAGGTGGCGTGCAGACACACAGGGCGTCCAGGCTAAAAGTCATTCACAGAAAGCCAATGCAACGCGCTTTCTTCTGACTGAAGGCGGTGAAGGGACGCCTGAGATCTCCCCGTATAGAGGGACCAATGAAAAGCCAGGATCAGGTGAACGTCACTGACACATTAAGATGTTTGATTTTACAGATGAATCTGAGAAGAACAAAGTCAGAGTTTTTAACACCGAGATTCCTGCAGTTTGTTTGAATGAATCTTTTGTTGACAGCTGCTGATTCTTCAGTAAAAGATGAAAACTGAGATTCTGCTTCATGTCTGAACACGTTCACACTCCAACTTCAGACCAGTTTAACCACTCTCTCTCTCTCTCTCTCTCTCTCTCTCTCTGTCTCTCTCTCTTTAAATTTCAAACGGCGGCCATCTTTCCTCTTTCCCCGCGGCGTCTCCTCCCCTGAGTTAAATATTCCCTCAGTTAATGACTGCAGGCTCGTCGTTCCCTTGCACTTTGTTCCTCTGTGTTTTTAACTTGTTTACAGTTCAGCAGTCTGTAGTTTCATGGATCAGTGACTCACTGTGTCCACACTCTGCTGGGTAAACCTTTCCACCCTCACATTCTGGAAACATTCAAATAACGACACGATGCAGCTCATCCATGACTTGGCGCAGCAGGCGTTTACTCACTGACACATCGGGAATGCAGCATTACCTGCTGCTGGTTTCACCTTTGACCTTTGACCTCTACACCACCTGAAGGTTTCACTTACAGAACCTTTCAGACTCAGCTCAGCTGTCATCTCATCTTTGTACGTTCATAATGATTCCACGATGGCGTGATATTGGCGTCCCAGTCTGTGACGTCATGGTGTGTTTAGCCGCTGTAGAAGCACCACACACACACAAACAGCGCTGTTCTCCCCCGCTGGCTCAGCTGATCCTGTCTCTCCTCTGTAACGCCAGACATTCAGACTGAATGATAAACACCACAGCGACTTGAAACGGCGGTCTGAACGGGGCTTAAGAGAGAAAAATAAAAGTGGAATATTTAGGATACAGTTAACTCGCAGTTTAGGATAAATGTTTGATTTGAAGAAGTTAATCATCATCTGTCTCAACATTAAGTGTTTTTTTGTTTTCTCCACAGTGTAACCATGAGGTGGCGCTCTCTTCCCCTCCTCCTCCTCCTCCTCGTCTCCTTCCTCCTCGTCTGCAGAGCTAAAAGATCAGAGTTCAGGATCTGTGCGTACACTCTGCAGAGATTCAACTCGGAGAAGGCGTCTGACTCCAGACTGATGCACACTCTGACGCGGGTCAGTGTCTCTCCTCATGTTTCATCATTCTGAATATCAACGCTTCTTTAACGATGGACAGTTTAATCTGCATCATTTCACAGCTCCTCCAGGAAAAGATACGAGTTAGACTGTAAAATGTTCATGTTACAAACTTTTGATTGTATGTACGAGTTGTATCCTCTCAGACACACTCTTCATGCACTCACTTGTTTTGGTGATTATAGTTTGGGAATAATAAACAGGGCTAATGCTAAGCTAGCTTCGATAGAAAGACTGACTCCGGAAAGTTCCTTGTTTATAGTTGTGATACAGCAATTTAGACGTGTGTGTGTGTGTGTGTGTGTGTGTGTGTAGATTGTGTCTCGCTGTGACATCACTCTCCTGCAGGAAGTGATGGATCCGGACGGTAAAGCCATCAGATCTCTGCTGGCGTCCCTCAACAGGTACAGTGAAAGGTAGACAATCAGCTCTCTCTCACTAACATCGTCCTCTCTCTCTGCTGCCCCTGCTGGTCTGAGAAAGTATTTCTCTTCAAACTATAAACAAACCAAAAACGCTGTGATGAACGGCCGTTATTTAAATGTCATAACATTTTTAACATTAACATGTTTGTACATTTAAATTTTCACATTTAAATGAGTAATAAGGATTAGCTGTGACTCAGACTGTGACACTAACACTGCATCATGTTGATTAATACTTCCTTGTATGTGTCTGCCTCCAACAGGGATATTGACAGGTATGCTGGATTTTTTTCGAGCATGTGAAACGCCGTCTAAACCTAATTAATCATTCCAATCAATTAATGTCTCTACTAATCCTAACGCCTGTTATAACAGAGTAACACTTTATTTTGTGCAGTTGATGATGAGGTAAACCGGCAACAATCAGCTGACTGTCCATCAGATGGCAGGTGAATGACATCCAGACAAAAAGAAGTTCTAACACTTGAAATAATCCACATTTCATTTGAATCATTCACCCAGACTTTGACCTTAACTTAAAGTCTAGAGGAGGTCATCACAGTTGTCTGTGAAGGTTCTCAGTCATCGAGGTCATGGCAGACTCGATGCTTGATCCAAAGGCAAAGGTTTCACCGCTCCTCCTCTGAAAGGCTTCTTCAGTTCTGGTGGGCGGAGCTAGAAATATAACCGTCTGTGAATCATTAGCATGCTCTGACGTGAGTCATCCTTGATCATTAGCATGTGGTCAAAGTACTTGTTTGCCCATACTTCCTGTCTTAATTCTAAGCTAGGCTAAAAACAAACTGGAGTGTAAGGACGTTAGGTTTACACTGAAGCTTCCAAAATGATTCTGTTTGCCAAATCGAATCAGTTAATGGTCAGAAATGTAAATTCAATCAGACAGCGGAGGAAACGTCCTCTGATGACAGTCAGCTGAGCAGACTTACCAAAATAAAGTGTTACAACAAATTAAATCTAAGAGTTCGATTGAGGTCATTTATGTCAGGGGGAGGGAGGGCTCGAGCCTAATTACAGCATGATGCATTATATTCAAGCATTTTGTTATATGTAATTTAAAGAAATCCACTATTTAATAAAAACAATACCCTTTATATTACAGCGTTATTGAAAACTTTGTGGTTCAAATCTCAAGGGGTCAGTAAGATTAAATCTACAAAGTAAGACGTCCTGTTTCCAACATGCATTCTCTCACACTGGGAGGGACAGTGGCTGCAGCAGAGACATACATTATAGTGTCATCAGTAAAACAATGTGATATTTTTGCCATATTTCTTTAAAATGAGGCTAAGATGCTAAAAAGAGAAAAGTGGAGGACTAAGTACAAAGCCTTGTGGAACGCCACGTATGCTTTCCTCCGCCACAGTCGACCTCTTCTGCTGATCTCCATTTCAAACTCTGTGTTACGATGTCCAATCTAAATGTGGGCAAAGTTTCAGATCAGGAGGTAAACATATGTCAGAGTAATCCCAGGATGAGTCTGCAGAGGGCGCTACACGGCTTTTTCAGCTAATCACGCCATAGTTCCCCGATATCAAACCAAGAATTTCAGCAGACGGCTTCAAGCCTCTGAAACCTCTCACAGAGACTCTCTTCTCCCAAACCTGGAGAGCAGC